TGGTGACTTTCTAGATATGTAGTCATTTCAAGGAAAGCTCCAGGAGGAAGTGAAAAACATCTTTTTCCCAGAAGAGAGTTAAAAAAAAAATCAATTGCTCAAACTGAGGCTAATAGTTCAACTTAGGAGAACAAAATGCAAATAATCATGCTGAGTAAGCCCTTAGAAAAGCAGCAACAGTCCTGTGAGCCAAATAGAAAGCAGTGGAGCTGCTGTGAGGTACTGCATGGAGATTAAAACGCTTCTGCACACAGCTAAAAGTTAACAGTGTTTTTCCACTTCTCTCAGTATTACAATAATGCTAAGAAATATTATTGCAGAGATCACTGCCTGTGGGGCAGATGCAGAACTCAACTCAGTGATGTTGCAACAGGAGGACTGTTTAGTCTCATCCTATGTTAACGTAATTAGAAAGCAGACTTTTCACGATGACCAAATTGGGAGTGATGGCTTTGGACCTGGAACATAGCAAGTGTTATAGCACTTTGTGAAAGCAGAAGGTCACGTAATTCTTGGTTCATTAGTCCAGCTCAACCAGATTTTTCTTGTAAGTTGGTTGCAGTCAAGGCCAGAGGAAAAGGAAAGGATGATGAAATGAAATATAAGCTTTCCAAAGGTAACTTTTGTAAATTCATATCAAGAAAAGGCATATCCCTTTTTTTCTGCATTGAAGTCAAGCAACAAATACTGTATTTTTTTTCCAGTGTAGCTGGGAATAAGTATAAGTATTATTAAGGAAAAGGGAATTACTGGAGGGGCTGTGTGAATTTCTCTTTCTGGCAGAATTCCTCCAGGTCTGGGGTCACAGATTTTCTTTCTTATTTCATTACTGACCTGGGCACACAGCAGGAGTGTGCTAATGTAGTGACAAACATAGGAGCGGTGCCAGCAACACAGAAATCAAAACATCATGCGGACAAAATTGTATTACGGTATACTGTAAGTTTACTAAAAGCTCCATTGAGCTCAAAGCTCACTAGTTACAGGAGATGAAAGACACCCTAAGCCTAGTCCAAGGCCCGAGGAAGAGGCAAGTAAAGTTTTTGACTGCACTGGTTTTATCATTTTCCCCACAAAGGGATGTTTCGGTATCACTGCATGGGGCCTGAGTAAGATGCTGATGCAGTTCTGAGCACAGCCCTAGTTCCCCTGCTCAAGCAATCCAAACTGGAGGGAATACAGGAGGGCACAAGCAGAAGCCAGCGGTCCTCATTAAATTCCAGCATGTTTAGCACTGCTGCTTCCAGGATTGTCTATATCAAGCTTCTCTCAAACACTAACAGAGTAATTTATCGCCCTCATGCAATAGGTCATATCATTCTGCCTTCTCTCAGACACACAAAGCTTTCATTCTGCACCACTACAACAGGTTTTTCTGTCTAGTAATAAGGTCTGTCAATTGCCTACTGGTCACAGATAATCCAACAGATTGCTCTCTGCCACCCTCTTGTGTCCTGAGAATTATAATACTAACATCTGACAGAACTATCTGAGTCAAGCCTTCTCTTGCAAACAAAGGTCTACGGACTTTAGGGCCCCAAGTAGATTTTGGTCTCCTCCAGCTTTCATTCAGGACTTCAAAACGGCCATCATTAAAAAGTGCAGAAAATGTCTCTGTTAATCAAATAATATTTTGCTGAGAGTTTCAGTAGGAACTTCTTTGAAGCAAGTTCAATTTGACAGATTATGCACTTCCATTGCATAGTCTACTCACAAATTTATTTCAGTTATATGAGCTGCACTGATTTGCATGAAGTGCTCTGTTCCAGTGTGTTGTGACTGCACAGAAACGGGCCAGAGTCCCTGCCCCAGCAGCTATCAGACTAATGCGTAACCCACACCACATGCTAGCCCTGCTGCTCTTCAAGTGCAAGGCCCCAGCTCACTGCAGCCCAGCTGCTCCTTCTCTTACCTCAAACTGCCCTTGGTCCAGGCCACAAGCCCCAAGGAACCACTGCCCAGCACACTGGTCTGACATGATGCTGCTGGAGGTGACGCTCCCACTGCTGTCATAGTTGTAGTATTTTCCTGTAAGAGACAGTAAACATTTGTATTCCATGGGCATGCTCCTCCTAATCCTCCCAGGAAGGCAAGGAGGTGGCACCTTTGCCCCAAGACGTTCCTCTCCTTCCCAAGCCACTCCTTGGCATCATATCCTTTCTGTTCCCCTGGCTCCTTTTGTAGGGGACAACATCTCTGCCTCACTGGCACTTACTCCTTCCTGGCCATTTAGAGACATGGCTTCTTCCTACCTTCCCTTGTCCTCCATTTGAGGCTAAGGCTCCCCAGAAAGACTCAGGGCCCGAGGAGGACCTGCACCCTAATCCCCAAGCAGACCATGACCAGGCTGCTAGTCCCTACTCACCATTCCAGAGCAGCCTCTCATATGACTCCTTGCCCTTCTGCAGGATAGCAGAGTATTTCTGCATGGTCCCATGGTCACCCAGCACATCTGCCATCTTGCACATCATGCAGACGGCTGCCAGCCACAGCCCACCACAATAGGCACTGCAGAATAAAGAAAAGCAGTGTTAGCAACTCCGGATACAGCTTGGCTTGTGCAGATCCCTGCGACACGCTGGGGCTGTCCTCCCAGCTCCGAGTTATCTCCCCTGCCCACTCTGCCACCCTCCACCTGCTCAGCACTCACTGCTTTCCTGCTCACCTGGCTCCTGTTACTACCCACGCATCATATGTCTGGTCAGCAAAGCCACTGTTCTCGATGAGCCCATCGTTGTCTTTGTCAAACTGCAGCTCCGACTCCATCACAGTCTGTGGAAGGCAGGAGATGGTCATGCAGTTTGAGCACCCTCTGCAGCTTTCTCCCAAGACTGCCCCTCATGTCTCTTCAGGGATGATTTGCCCCTGCTCCCTGAATGTCACAGGGACGATGCTGCTTCCTTCCCCATGGCTTCAGTGAGAGGCTGTGAGGCAGGACTGTCCCCTCATTACCTGGCAGACTGGCCCTCAAGTAGTTGTCCTGTGTCAGGTAGTAGTCACGGTACACCTGCAGCACAAACTTCAGGTTCAGGTCCTTCCAGTTGGCTGTGTCGTGAATCAGGTAGGCATTGACACGCTGCCACGGTTCATCGTCTACACAAGGACAGAGCAGATGTGCAACACAACACCCATTCCTTTACCCAGGTGCAAGGTCCCAGGAGTGCAATGGTCAAACAACACTGAAAATAACAGATTGCATCCTGTGCCATCCCTGAGAGCAGCCTTCTACCTGCTGCTGTAGCTTCACCACATCCCCCTTGTGCAGGCATGACCTGCATCGCCATCACCTCCCTGAACAGTGAGGGCCATCCAAACCTCCTGCTCCCAAAAGCAGTGCACTCCATGCACCATACAGCTTTCCCAAGCATGGGTTGTCCCACAGCTTGTGAGGAACTAACAAAGAGCTATGTCCACAGCCCCACATCTGCTTCAGCTCTCAACAGTCCTGGCCAGGGCAGGCCCCATACCTGGCTCCCCAATGTCATGTGGTACCACGTTCTTCAGCTTCACCTGGGCTGTCTGACCACCCATCAAGTACTGCCGGAGCTGGACATCCTCATTTACCACTGTGACAGCTGGGGAGGGTGATAAACAAGCAGCATGAGAATACATCGGGCAGCGTAGCAGTAAGCCCTAACCACAGGCCACCAGCGCCTCACTGTTTGCAGCACACCAGCCTCCCAACCTAGACTGGCATGGCAAGAGCCAGCACCCTGCAAGGGGGTGAGGGCACATCAGGCTGCTTCCAGGCTCCTCTCAGCACAGGACACATGACCCTCTGTCCTTTACCTTATAGCAGGGGCACAAGGTCCTCATGTGACACTGCCTTAACTGAGGTGGTGGCAGCACCAAGGGCTAGAAAGGAGCCCAGCAGGCTCAGCCCTCTCAGCTCAGCTGTGCTCTGAGACTCTCCCCTCTGGGACCACTGTTGGCTGTGCAAACAGAGCAGCCTCCAGGCGTGCCCAAAGTATCAGGGTCTGCAGACAGCTGCATACTTCCTCTCCATCCTCAAGGAGCATGGAAAGAGAATTGTCAGGACCAAGGGTGTCCCCAGCCCAGGTAGGTCCAACTCTGCACCCTAAGCCCAACTCATACCCAGAAGGTATCAGAACACTCAGCAGAGAGAAAAGATATGGGAAAAAACATCAGGTGCTCCCAAGTCCCAGGGCACAAGAGTGGAGGGGATGCTGGCCCCACAACACCTATTTCTAAGCAGAAGCAGTCCCAAATCCTCCATGTCTCCTGTAGCTCAAGACATCAGCAGGAGTCAAGCTAAGGTCTCCCAGGTCACTCACCAATGTCATACTGCAGGCTGATCTGCAGCTTGGGCCACAGCATGACGAGAGCGAAGGAGGCATAGAAGTGGACATCGTAGGTATTGTACATCCGGTACTCCTGGCCTGTAAGCACAGAGGGAGAGTGAAGGAGAGGAGACGTACTGCAAAGGAAGGGAAAGGAGGGAGAGATCCTTTCCTCCCTTCCTCCCACACAGCCCCAGAGGCTGGGCCCTCTCCCTGGCACAGGCAGGGATTCCCCTTAGAAGAGACACTTTACATTCCCCATGCAGGTCACCCGGCAGAAGACTTCATGCTGCACCATGCCTGACCCCACAGCAGGTTCTTTGGGAACAGGTAGTCAGCTCCCTAACCAGCAGCATGCAAAAGAGCTGCTGCACCACAGACAAAGTAGCAGCAGAGAGGGTTGAGTTGGGACCATCCATCACTTCTCTGCAAGTTACCTTCCAAATAAGCAAACCTTCCGTACTCCTGCAGGACGGGGAGGAGCTGGGACAGGCCAGTGTCCACTGGCCCCTGCACATCCTCCTCGCAGCAGTCCGGGGGCAGCTCCACCCAGATGGTCCCCCCGTCCGTGAGGAAGTACAGCTCATTGAACAGGGCTGACTTGTACCAGGAAGGCAGCTGGCTGCAGACAAAAGGGAAACTTGGTCACAGGGACCAGGGTAGGAGCCTGAGCACAGATGCGGGTACAGCTCCCACCCCAGCAGCCCCAAGAGCCTGCAGGCATCATGCTGTGCTCCAGAGCTGGGGCCAGCACCTGGCAAGGACACCTATTCCCTGCTGCATCTCCCCCAGCACACGCAACGGAGCTGTGCAGAGCTGCGGGACCACTGTCCTGGTCACCTTGCTGCCGCTCGCCTGCTCACTCCCTGAGACCCAGTCCCAACTTTTCAGCCTGGTACTGTCTGCCAAGAGAGTGCTAAACTGCTCTGCACAGGGTGCTGTTCTGATCTAGCTCACCTGTTCTCCAGGACGGGCTTCTGCCACACGTCAATCTTCTTCTCCCACTCCTCGTAGTGCGTCAGAGCATAGTGTGACAGGGCAGGGGCAGCATCGCCCTCGCTGCTGAAATAGCGCGTGTATCGCCTGCGGAACAGGGTCTTGTCAGGATCCTCACTGCTTGCCCCCAAAGCCTCTGTGGGCAGGCACAGGTGGGAACACCCCACTTGGCCATCCCCAGGAAGGGAGAGAAGCTGGACTGCACGAGGAAGATAATCCTATAATCCTGGCAGGACTGCTAGTGTCAGAATGCTGGGGCTAGAAAAGACTATGATGCAACAAGACAGCACTGCGTGCTACAGGGACAGAGCTGGAGGGTCTAAACCTCCATGGCAGCCAAGAGTTAAACAAATAGTGCTGAGGACTGCCTAAAAGGACAGCAAAAGGGTCAGAAAGCAGGTCACATAGCCCCTGGGCAGGCTATTCTCTCTTTCCAGGAGTTTGCAGCCCACAGCCACACCAGAGCACAGCTGGCTGTGAACAGGCAGCAGCACAAGGTTCCTGGGGCAGCATGCAAGGCCAGAGTTGCAAAGCAGGGAGGAAAAAAGAGGTCGCTCCAGGCACTTAAGCCAAGCTCTACCTGGAGCAGGCTGTGTGGCTGTACACAATTCACCCACCTGAGGTGCAGTTTCTCCTTGGAGCCAAAGTGAACACGGGGCATGTCCCACGCCAGAGCCAGCTCGAGTGTCCCGTGCCCTCGGGCAGGCACGGTACAGCTGACACACACAGCTGCCGCAACCACCTCTCCCTCCTCCGTGGGGGCGCTTCTACCTGCCAAAAAGCGTTCACAAATGACCACGAAAGCCTGCTGAGCCCAGAGCGACTGGGGGTGATATCTCAAGGGTGGTGTCTTGAGGACACTCGGGCATGCCCCAGTCCCCTTGTGACCTGGGGAAAGCACCCAAGACATTTTGGGGATGATACTCCTACACGTGAGTAACTGCTTTTTGCAAACAGGAAAAATTATCTGCCATAGGTACAGGGTTAAAAATTATAAATAAACACAGCAGCAAATTAGGCACAGAAGTCACCAAGCATGAGTGGAATGGATCGAGTACCTCATTACTTAATAATTGCTGCTACCACCAGCGTAGACGCAATCACTCAAACACTAGTCTTCATTCCAACTGTTTGAAGAATGCTGGAATTGTGCCTGTATTTAAGAAAACCCCCTTGAGGAGTTGGATAATTACATGCCAGCCCTGACATGCGTGCCAGGTAAACTTATTTAGGCAACAATTTTAACAGGAGCGCAAGATCCTGACTATGATAATGTTCAGCTTGCAGAGAAGAAAACCACATCCCCATAGCCTCAAGAGCTCGGAGTGCAGCTGTGAGGCTGCTCTGCAGACAAGCAGCTAGGAGACAGGTCTCCGGAAACATTTATGCAAATGCTTTACATAACTTAAGCTTCAAATTTATTTTTTTAACAAAGGCTCAGCACCAGCATCATCAAATCTGTCAGCATTATTCCTGGCTAAATGCTGGCTGGAACACTTGGCAAATGGTCAAGTTCTTACTGCAATAACAGGTTATCAACAAGAGTCCATTTTAAGGCTCTCTGCAGAGGAAATGAGCAGACAGCCGAGAATGGTGCTGAATTTTCCAGGAAATTTCAGAGAGCTTCAGGAAAGCCATGTAGTAACAAGGCAACAGCAAATTATGCCAGCACCAGAACTTGAGAAGTGCTAAATGCCCACTAGAAGGCCAAATCTAAACTGGCATCACTCCCAGCACTGACAACTTAAATTGAGAAAAGGTGGCTGGACATCAATCAGTCTAAGAAGATAGGGTCAGTCTAGGAAGACTTTAGTCAATCTAGGAAGATATCAGTATGCACAAAATATATAGTGGAGAACAGCCCTGAAGTGGTACAAATAGCTTTTGGAGAACCTTCTCTCGTGTCATGAAACCATGATAACAGCAAGATAATGAAAATAAACAGGAAATTCAAACATAGATTAAATCCCTTTTCAAGTAGCTTAAGTGACCTAAGACTCTTGGGGACAGGCCAAGCACACCAAGAGCAAGAGCCGAGTAACAACCCCAGGTGAGTCAGCCCTTCCATGTACCTGCTGGCCCTGCACAGCCTTGTCAAGAGCTTCTCCCACTTTAGGCCTTTCCCTTGCACTGTACAAGGGACAGGAAGGACCTTTCCACAGGGACAGATTTTCTCTATTCAGTTCTGCCAGAGTTTCCTCCAGCCATTGCACTCCCTGCCACCACATCCAGGCAACCAGAGGAAAGGAACCCAGCTCTGCTTGCCAGGGCTGGTGCTCTGCTCCCTGCTACCAGGCTCCCTCTGCTCACACCTGCACAGCCCTGACCTCAGTCAGAGAGGGAAAGGAGGACTCACCCGCAGGGGAATCCAGCTGGCCGTCCTGAAGGAGGTCTTGCCACACCTCCTTACCTGATCCTGTGGGATTGAAGGCTGTGAAGTGGGTAACTCTGGCGCCAGCCTGGGGATGAAAAGCCTGTGTCAAGGTTAGGGCCGCCTCCAAAGGGCAGGTAACAAGAGCACCTTGTGCTGGGTGAGACAAGGTCAAATTCCCTCAGAATCCAAACTAGGAGGTAATGTTTTTGTGGGACAGATAGAGAAAACAGTGAATTAACCCTAGTCCCGCAGCCCTGAATTCACAATCTGCACATTGTCCACCAGTGCTAACTCCAGATCTATCCATCTGGTGTCCTCCAAGCTTCACCCACAGCTTCTGTGCAGGAATCCCACCACCTCGAGAATGACACTTGGAGCCTATTTGGAGTCACATCCCTATTCTTGCCCTGGCAGCTGGGGAAGTGCCAGTGTTGGTGCTAACTCTCACGCAAGGTACATCACACATCCATCCTTCCCCAGCTGCCAAAAAGAGCCCACAGATCCCACACTCAAAAGGGCTGCACTGCTCTCCCCACACCCACCAAACAGGGTTGGACGGAGCAGGATGGGATCATTCCTAGGGACAACAGTCCAGATCTCTGTCACGTGGGATGCTCATGTCTTGCCCCTGCCTCCCCACTATGAGAGATGCTGTGAGCCCGCAGATCCCCATGAACCAGCCAGCCCTTTACCTTCTCACGGGCAGAGATAGCGAGGCTGAAGGGATTCACGGGAGTGCAGTGATGCAGGACAACGCCACCAACCCGTGTGCCCTCCTTCTCAAAGGCAAAGGGCTCATTCCAGTGCCCTCCTCTCTTGTCCTCCTTCGTACCCATGCCATTCTGCAGGCTGAACATGATGGAGACCTCCACATCCTCATCGTTCCCGTTCTCCAACTCCCAGATGAACACTCCCACCGGCAGGCTGGAGTCCTGGCAGAGACAGACAACACCATGTACAGAGCTTGCACTCTGCAGCAAACTGCTCCGAGCACCGCTTCCCCCAGCGCCAGGGGAAACAGTCTGGGCTGGGGCAGGTGCAGGAACACAAGAAATAACTCAGTCTTTCACCTCCACATTTGGAGTCTGTTTCCAACCTGGATCGGCTGGAGCAGAGCAATTGTGGGGCCAGGCAATACAAAACTCAGGTCACAAACCCTGGGTAAGCAAGTCCACAGCAGAGGGAACTGGGGGTCTAACATCCAAACGCATCTTGAGTGCTCAACACCTGCAGCTACAACCCACCTGATTCTTGAGGGACCATCAGGGCCAGGAATGTCCGCAGCACAGCTGCCTGCCCTCACCTTGGCTCGGAATGCTGAGTGGGATTAGCGAGGCATCCCTTACTGCCAGTGCCTGGAATTTCCTTATTTCTGCAAGGGTTCATAGAATCACAGAACCCTTAAGGTTGTAAGGGACCTCTAGAGGTCATCTAGTCCAACCCCCCTGCACACGCAGGGTCACCTGGAGCACGTGGCACAGGACTGCGTCCAAGCGGGCTTGGAAGATCTCCAGAGAAGGAGACTCCACAACCTCTCTGGAAAGCCTCTTCCAGTGCTCTGTCACCCTCACTGTTAAGAAATTTTTCCTCAAGTTCCTGTGGAACTTTTGGTGCTTCAGTTTGTGGCCATTACCTCTAGTTCTGTCAGTGGCCACCACTGAAAAGAGACCAGCAC